TGCTCAGGCCTGAAGCTTGTTGGTGTCAAGCTCCAATACTGCAATCTTTGCTGGACAAACAGCCCATGCCAGAGGGGCCTCTCTGCCCTCTTTCCCCCAGACAGCCGAGCCGCTACTATCTCCAGCTGGAATCTGCCCGCATGGCACCCCAATCAGATACGTACCCTTCCTGTGGGCTCCCAGGGCTGTGCCACAGCCTCCACTCAGCACTTTCTCAATGACATACAGAGGTCAATTGATGCCCATGCAGTGATTCTCTCTGCTTTCCCTCGCGACAGATGCCCTCCTGTCCTTTGCCTGTCCTGTGGCTATTGACTCAATGGACCAGCAGGCTGAAAGGGGACAGGAGAAACCAGGGGCTCTGCTGGGCTCTGGGCTCTGGCATATGAATCCCAGGTGGGAGGCCCTGAGTCCTAGCGTCTGATGGGCTTGGACTTCAACCCCAGCTCTGTCCCTTCCCAGCTGTGTCCTTTGGCAGTCCTTGTCCTGTGCAAACCTCAGCTTTTGCTTCTGTAAAGTGGATCTAACCATTTGAGCCTTGTCATGTTATTGGGAGGATCTGAGGAGGCTGCACACACGCTCAAAGCACTTAAAAGACCAAGTGCTCGAAAATGTTAGTGAGTAAGGTTGTTGGCTGTTATGGGAATTATCTTGGCCCTGTTCTCTTTGCTCTTAGGCCTGCAGATACAGAGGCTGGGTCTGGGTGGAGCTCCACACAGGCTCTGCCTCCAGCAGAGGAGGCAGAGACGCCGGGCAGGGGCTTAGCATCTCCCTTGCAAAGGGAGAGAGGGCTGGGTAGGGAAGGGGCCCCCTTTCCTGGTGTGGGCTGTCCCTAGGCTGTTTGTTACCAGTCAGTTATTGCCTGGAAGGCTCGGGGTCACCTTTTCCAATGACACCAGGAGGGAGGGAATTTGTGGATAAGGAGCTGGTCCATACTGGTTGTTTTCACACACAGATGATCCCATTTAGTCTCCAACCCATCTGGCAAGGAAGCAAAGATCACTAGGGAGGAAGCCGAGATTCAGAGAACAGACACGGCCCCTGTGCCACTGAGCTGGGGCTTCAGTCCTCGAGTCCCAGTGGCGGCGGCCAGGCTGCTCCCCAGCCTGCTGGCCACCTTTGAACGTGAACAGCCGGAAAAGCGAGCTGACTTGAAATGATGAAAGCAGCTTCCCTGTCCTCGGAGGCCAGGCGCTGAACAAATCCATCCCGTAAGCAGTACTTACAGTGAATCTTACTCCCCGGAACAATTTAGACAAAGACCTAGTTTATGCAGCTGAATATGAAATATGGCTCGTGTCGTAGAACATTTGTATAAAAAGACTGTTTCTTTACTGTCACAGCCTCCAAGCCACCTCTGCTGGGAGCGCTGCCTTCTTATCCGACGACTAAACATCAGACTGATCTGGAAGGCAGCTTTTCCACGAGCCCCCGTAAAAGCTTCCGGGGGCCTCTGGTAGGTTCTTTCTGGGCCTCGGTTTCCCCACCTATAAAAGGACATGGTCTCCTTTGGGTGACTTCTAACCTCCTCCTCTCCTAAACATTGGCCGTATGCTCCAATACAGAACTCGTATTCCATCCACAAGTGTGCTTTTCCAATGCATGAATTAACTTGCTAAAAAAAATCCCAATGCAGGAGGGCCACTTGAGCAACATTTGGCTGATGTATTTAGAAAGCCAAGGATATTTTCCTGTTGAGTAGAGAAGCCTTGGTGTGTGTGACTGCCTCAGTCTGCCTGTGACTGTCAGAGAAGAAGAATCTTTGGTTTCTGAAGCCTGTGTCCTTGTCATTGATTTAAGTCCTGGTTCTCCTTCATTTAGAGAAAGCAGCAAGGTTCCCGGTCCAAGGTGAACTGTCCACCCTTGTCCCTGATTGCGGTGACTGAAAACCTCGCAGATCCCTTCCTCTTCTTCCCGAAACAGGAGCTGTAGGCGTGGGGGTGGGGTGGGCAGCAGCCTTGGCCTCCCGAGAGGCCCTGCTCTGGGCACCTTCCTTCTCGATGCAGTGTTGGGGGTGGGGGGAGTTGGGGAGAAGGAAGGGCATTCGCATCTGGTTCCTGCTAGCAACAAATCAATATGTTGACAGAGCTGCTCCCCATGTGGGGCCATTTAAACACTGATCCCGGGTGGGGTTTGGGGCTGACCGACTTCGACTTCGTTTGCCAAATGCAAATGCATTAACCTTACAATTGGGTAATCTAATAAAAAGGATCAATGGTCTGATTCGGTGCTTATGGAGTCATTTACTGCAAGCGAGAGCAATTTAGCCAGGACCCAGATGGGCAGCTCGGAGGAGCCGGGAGCATGGCTATAGCCGGCCGGCCCGTTCTTGCCGACTTCCCAAGGTATGGGCCGCCTCTGCCCGGAGAGGCTGGGCCCAGGGCTCCCAGGGAATGGGGAGGGTGTGATTCATTCATTACTGCCACTTTAATCACTTAGAGGTTCAATTAAGTATAAATCATTAGTGGGATTTCAAGTTACTCTATCCAGGTCCGTGCATAGCACACTTGAGTGGCGGTGGGGAGCTCTCTGTGACTAGATTTAGCGTGCGACTGAACAAGGCAGTCATATGGGTTTTTCTGCTATGAAATTGATAAATGAAGCGGGCATTCGAGGTACAGCAGTAATTTCTGTGGTGCAGTCAAGTGCTCGCTCCCTTGTCTTTTCTCGCAATGAGGGCATGGGCCCCTGTAATGTGGCAGCTTCCCCCCGGGGGGCCAGAGGCCAGGCTGGGCCGCAGGCCTGGGGTCTATTTCCTTGTCCCAGATCCAGCTCTGGTTCGTCAGTAGGAATATACCTGAGGAGGGAGGAAGAAAAGGGAGAAAGGAAAGAAGCAGAATCCCTCACCTCGGGCCCCAGCGCTGATGCAGCTGTGGTTCCCCCGGCCCAGGTGCAGAGGAGGAGACGGGGCTGGCTCGGCGGCTGGCTTCCCTCTCCCCACGGACACGGTCGTCCCCCGTGGCCGGCATCCACGTCTGGAGAGCATATTTTCTCCTAATCGGTTTTACAGCTCTTTTAAAGTAATATGTCAGATCATTTTCCCCATATACATAGTTAATGAAAGTAACCCTACAAATTCATTTTAAATAGATGGAAGTTGTTATAACCCTGATCCAGAATTTATTACGTTCATTACAATCTTGCTGAAGTAGGTAATGTAATGGACTATTACTTTTATTATCTTTTTAATCCCTCAAAATTATTAGGAACTGACTAATATTTGGCATCACCCTGTTAATGTTTAAACAGAAATTGATACTTTAATTCGTCGAATAAATGATGGGCGCACTTTGAGTGGAGAAACAAAAGCCCCATGGGATTTATCTTGATCGGTCTGGAGATTTTGGGGTCTGTGTGCAGTGGGCTCCAGGCAGGGCGCCCTCATCACTCCGAAAGGGCTGACGTGGTGACGGACAGCCCCAGACGGAGCAGGGAGGCGAGACTTGCCACTCAGACATCCAGGCTGCCGTACAGATTCACAGCCAGCTCCGATTTGCAGAGAGCACGATGCGTCTTTTCTTCCCTGCCCTTTGTCTCCCCCTCCCCGCCTTTCCAGATTAAAAAGATTTTTCTTTACAACCATTCCTGTGTTAGCAATCAGCTGTAGGGCTACGCGGTCTCAAGTGCTCTAGAATTCGTGCGTGGCCGAGACAAATGATTGGGTCACGTTCCCCTCGCGGGGAGCGCAGACCCTGCTTGCTCCTTGGAAAATAATGGTGACTGCTCAGTTTGCAAATTACCGAATCTCGCTGTGGTGTGGGAAGGGGTGGGGCGGAGAGGGGGGCATCCTGTCTGTTGCTGTGTTTACCTGCAGAGCTTCGTCTCCTGCCAGGTAGGTCACAGGTAGGATTTAGGAGACATGGGTCTCTTGCACTTTCTAGTTTTTACAAGGCAAACGGTAACGCTAGGCACTTAAAGAAAATAAACACGAAAATAAAAAATCGGTTAGCTCTAGCAGGCTGAGAAGAGCACCATTCTTCCTTTTCTGGTTTGGTGAGACAAGATGCGAGGACATGTATTTGGGAGAGGAAATGCTGGCGTTTTGCATTCACGCCAAGGCCGGGTGCGCTTTCTAACAAAGGCTCCCAGTTAGCAAAGTCACTGATTAGCACAGAGTAGCTCATTAGAATTCATAGCTACTTCACCGTGGAGTGTGGCTTTGCTCTCGCTACATGCCCCGAGTTTCCAGAGCGAGCAAAGTATTGCTGGAATGACTCAGCATGGGACGGGCCCCATCCATGTTGGCCCATAAAGGGGGCGCTGCATGGTTTTCCAAGCCGGGGAGCCTGCCGGGTGTCCTGCGAGAAGGGCGTAGGTCGGGGGCAGGGGACAGCGTCCTGCCTCCTATCTGCCTTAGCGGAGTCCAGGGACAGACTTCCCGCCCAGCCCTGGGCTGAAGCGCCTTTTGATCAATGGAGGGGATGTCTGCCTTTACAGGAGTTCGTTCCGGAAGCTTTACAAATCGTGCCGGTTGCTTTCGTCAACGATGACTTGACAAGGGCTACACGTCATTTAGGGCTTGATAAAGAGACTAAAAGGCAGCTTCTCAGCATGTTTATTTTTAATAGACATAACAAATGAAAACTACGGCAGAGGCTTCCTCACTGCACCGAACCCTCACTGGCAGAAAAGCGCTGAAGTGGCGAGGCACAGATGCAGATCCTGGACGGGGAGGGGCTTTCCTTTCCTTTCCTGCTTTAGCCAAAATATTCTGGTGAACATGAAGACAGCTTCAGCAATGAGGAGGAGGCTCTCCCATCTCCGGCCCTAACACGGGGTTGGGGGGCGGTACCGTGTCTTAGGCGCTGGCTGTCAGAGCAGCGTGCTCGGTGCCTGGCCACTTGGGTTTCATGATGTGGCTGCAATCAACCCCATTCTTCCTGCCTCATCTTTAGAAAGTGCAGCTTTGCGAATGGAAGCTGAGTGTTCCCCTTCCCTTTTCTGAGTCTGTACTTCGTAGACAGTTCTTCCCCGTGCCTCTGCTGGATGTGCGGGGCTGTCCATCACAGCAGAAAGAATGCAGCTTGAAATGCCCACTTAAAAAATATTCACCTGCACTAGATTGTAAAGACTGGGGTGGACCTCTTTCTTAATGTCCAATGTCCTTTGTCTTAAAATTTGGTGCAATATGTTTTTGAGAGTAAATTTCATGACTGATCATACTGAAAATAAACTGACTGTCTTTGAAAAAAAAATATTCACAACAAATGTGACCAAGTGCTGAGCGTCCTTTACATTAAAGAGTTCTTTAAATGGTTAAGAAAGATATTAAGATCCCGAAAGAACAATGAGAACTGTGGCATGAATGAATATTAACAAAAGAAGAAATCCAAGTAGCTCTGATTTCCTGAGCACTTACTATATTCCAGGTGTAGTTTGCATGAGCTGTCTCATTCATTCTTTACAAAGACCCTCTGAGTTGGAGCTATTGTTGTCGTCTCTACGACAGATGCGGAAAAGCAAAGCTTTGAGAAGCTCAGGAATCATCCCAAGATCACATGGGTTATAAGTGGGGAGTCAGGATTCAAAACCAAGCTGTTTGATGTAGCAGGGACTCTGCTGCTGTCACCCCACAAATTCACTGATAAAATCATGGAGCAAGGCTGAAAAACAATGCCATGTTTACTAGCAAAGGAAGATTTACTAATTTACAATAAGAAAAATGTCACTTATCAAATTAACAAACACTTATAAGAAATGGTAATAGTGTTGGCAAGAGTGGATCAAATTTGACATTCTTAAATATAGATTTGACAGTGCCTTTTGAGAGTCTTAAAAATGTGCAGGTCATTTGACTCAGTAATGCCATCATAAATAATCTGTCCCAAGATAACAAAAATATAAGCAGAGCTGTAGGCCTAGGAGTCTCCACCGGGGCACGGACAACTGGCTCAATGTGCCTGTTGGGGGAGTGGTTACGTACGTTCAATGACATTGGTCACAATCAAAATGATGCTATCACAGAGTTTCTGGTAATGGGGAGGTACTTACGGGAAGTAAGGGTATAAAATTGTACAAACGAGTCATTCCAACTGTGTAAAACATGGTGAGAAAACAGAATGGAAACATACAAGACACATGTGAACCAGAGGATATTCTCTGTGCACTGGGGGTATGTGTGGCTGTGTCGTTTTGTTATCTACTATTTTCCAAATTTTCCACAGTAAATGTGTTTTACTTGTCATCAGGGTGGCAGAGAAAAGACATCCTTGGTGATTTTTAGAAGTCAGTTTTCTTAACATAAATTTCAGACCTACTGGGGGTACATCACCAGACTCCAGAGCATCAAATTAGCCTAAAACATGGGACATAGTTGTTCTCTAGATGGGCCCAGGACACCTACAGGCAACTTCACATGTCCTGCGACCCACTAAGCCTCTTCCTGTTCTGGAATGCACCTGCTCGCCAGCCTGCTGTGAGAACAAAACAGGCGCCAAGGCCCTAGAGCAGAATGGGCCTGGTGTGAGCGCTCCATCGGTGCCAGTAATGGCGGTACGTTAGTTACGGTTGTTGTGGCTGTTAGCCAGAAGGAAGGCTGGGTGTCCCACCGGCAGCAGGAAGCACACAGGGACTGGCTTCTCCTGAGATGAGGCTGGAAGCATCTTTCCTGTGTGCTCACAGCCCCAGTCCTGGTGCCACCCAGGGCTTTTGCCAGCCACTAAGAGCGGGTGCTCTTTGGGTATGCCATGAACCTCCTGTACACAGACCCTCATTCATCCAACCGCCATGTCGTGGCCCCTTCTTGGGGCCAGGCTCTGTGCGTGTGACCCTTTCCATGGATGGATTTGCTTGCACTTAGCTCTGAGAAGCAGCTTGATTGGCGTCTCTGCTTTGTGGCTCAGAGACTGGAAGTCACTCGCTCAGGTCCCACAGCCAGCGAGTGGCAAGGCTGGCGCCGGGATCTAGGTTGGGAGGACTCCAGAGACAACGGAAAAGAGTGGCAGCCGTGCCTGAGAACGCGGGCTCTTGAATCAGAAAGACCTAGGCTTTTGGCTTTTTCTTTGTGGCTTTACCCAGGTGATAAAGGTTCTAAAACCTCAGCTTGCTCCTGGATCCAATGGGACCTACAGTGCTTGCATCTTGCAATGTTATTTATGCAATACAAAGAAAAATAGCATCATTGCCAATGAAACTACAGTGGAGTACTTTCTTATCACTTAGAGTTTTGCTTTTGTATTTATGGAAAGAACTCGGGTTTATTTAAACATAGATTTTCATCATAAGGCATTTGTGCATGGGTGAAAAGGAAAATGTAACTGCAATAAATTATTTCTAAAACTTCTTTGTAGAAAGGGAGGGTCTTGGCTTTGCAGATGTCCACGGTTTTCAACACTCCACTGTCTGGCCACTGCCAACACCACTGCCACTGTTTCTTTAAAAAGCACTGCTCTGGTGTCCGTGGGATTGTAAGCTGGGGGTCCCCGTTCTGCGAGCTTTGGCGCGCATTCCCAGCTACGGCAATGACATCAAGAGTGCTGTTGGCTGACAGTGACACGTAGAAGCATCTCAGTTTCAGAGGCTCTACAGTAGGGAAGAGAAAGCGTCGTAGAACTGATGGATCGTAGGAGCGAGGCCGTGCTTGTGAGGGACGTAGACTCCAGGCGGGGCCGGCGGCAAGGGCTCACTGTCGTGAGCACCGCTACTCCGTGCTGCTCCGTAAGATGCGCTGCGTACCAGTGAGCGGATGGGCCTCTGTGCCCCGGCAAAGGCCTGCCCTGTGTCCCTTCCTGCCTCCCTCTCTCCTCTGCTTTCTGAAGCTTCTCTCTCTCTGCTTGCCTCTTCCTCCTTTACCTATGTGCCCCCTCCCCCTGCTTCTCACTGTCTCCCCTTCCCACCCCCTCTCTAGCTCTTCTGCAAATAAATGGCCCTGTCACCCCAGCTCTCTTGTAGGTTTAGAGTGAATGGAAGTGTCTTTTTGAAAAGCTTGTTCTGTCTGACATTCCTGAACAGCGGCTGCGAGCAGGGTCCTTTGCGGTCCCTTCTCTTCTGCTCAAAGATCTGCTCATTTGGTTAATGATTTACAGGGCTGCCACTGGGCCCTGAGCCCACAGCGAGCGCAGCAGAGGCAGTGGGGCTGGGCGCTCTGCAGGAGGCCTGTGGCAGGCTTGGAATCCTACCTGGATCTTGCCTCTGGTGGCTGTGGGCAGACTGGCTTAGGATTTGCCTAAAGAGAAGCCATTTATTCCCTTTGCTGATTCTTTAAAAAAATATGCTCGCAGCTTTTATGATGAGCCTGGTGCATGCATTTAATGACATTAAACTATTTGATTATGTGCATTACGAAGAGGTCTGGGAGCTCTGTGGCGTCCTTAGTTTTAAGTGTATTTTAACTGCCTACAGTGAAAGGAACAAGACAAAAAAATGAGCTGTGGCAGTACCCTCATAAATCCAGAGCCATAATCGACACACCTTTGCTGGCACCAGGATGGTCCAGGCAGGCAGACCCGGGGGAGAAGAGCAAGGGTGTTTCCATTTTCCTGTGGGCCTGGGTACCAGAGCCAAAGTGGGGCTCCCCAATCCTGCAATACCTTGTCTTCAGGCAGCATCTGGGCCAGCAGGGAGCAGGGTCTGACACCGGCCTCAGGTGGAGACCTGCTTTGTGCACAGTGCTGGGCTTTGCCCTTCACATGTTGCTACGTTTAGTTTCCACAAGAAGGTGCCCTTAGCCCCATTTTCCTGGTGAGGAAACTGGACCTCCTCAGCAAAGTCAGCTGACTTGCTCCACGTTGGTTAAAAATCGGAGGCACCCTCTGAAAACCAATCTGATTCCCTGTCCTTTGAACAGGCACCGGGCACCGAGCTCAGAATGACACCCATTTGGGGAACAGCTGCTGGGGCCAAGGAAGCATAAGCCTCAGAGGGAAGCTTCCTCCTCCCACCCTCTGGGCTCCGCCTGTTGGAGGCTGGTGGTGGAAACAGAATCAGGACAGAAAAAGCCACTTGAAATGAACTGCTCCCAGACAGGCCTCCATGGTAGCGTGATTGATACTGGAGCATGTAGGTGTAATGAAACTGATGCCGGCTTCTCTGCACCTGTGATTTATTGAGGACAAATTTAAGATGAGAAAGGGCCCCATACCAGGAGCTGCGTCTTCCCCTCCAAGGGAGGGTGGTCATCCATCACCAGCCATTGCAAGGGCCCATCGCAAGCGGCTCATCAGATGAACCAATAGTCTCTTTGTTGGGGTTCCTAACAAGTGTTGGATCAGCAAAAGTCTATTTATGCTGGTGGACCTTTCAGGACCAATTTGTAGTGGGTCACTGATTCTGCTGGGGTATTATCTTCTTTACTACTCGGGCCGGTTGGGGAGCGCGGCAAAGATTAATGATTTTGGCTGCCGACTTGCTGCCGCAATCTACCGCTTCTGGGCCACAGATTAAGTTTTTTTGTGTTTTACCAGAAAGGGCCCACCTTGCGCATGAGATGGGCTTTGATTTACTGACTTGCAATGGAGAAGGGAGCCATGGAAATGTACTTGATTATGGTGAGGGTTTGGCAGACGGCTGTTAGGCCTGGCATCCACGCTCTTCCCTCTAAGGCTCTAGGCAGGGAACAGGCAGTTCCTAGTGCCAGGGTATGAATTCTGCCGGCCCAGGGGTCTGTGGGACTAGGGGCGCTCTCTGGAAGCTCCCAGAACATCAGCCAGCAGTTGGCTCTGGGTTCACAGGTCGGTGGGACCCTGAACTTTACTGTTTAAAACTATGCTATGAAAAACAAGAATTATAACCTTTCCTTATTATTTGGAAAATAGCAATGCTCTTTTAATGCATTTTGGAGGAAAAAAATTCAAGGAGCAAATAAAACCACCCATAAGCCAAGTGCACCGTGATATGGCTACTAACGTGTGGGTTTACATTTTCACCTAGCATTTTTCCTCTGCACGAATAACTGTGTGTTATTTCACACAATTAAATTCGTACTGGACTTTTGGTATACGGTTTTGTAGTCTGCTTTCTCTAATGAACATTATCCCATAAGCATTTCTCCATCTCTTCATCATCTTAGTGAGCTATCTTTTCTTTGTTCTTCTGAAGTTGGGTTTATTGCAACGTCTCCAGCGCCGAAGTTCTGTTCCTATATTCAGCAAACATTTGCTGTGTGCTTCTCTGGGCCAGACTCGGCTGTGATCAC